ATACTGTATTACTTATGATAGGGTTGGATCAAAAAGGGTAACTGGGCACTTCACAACTCTATCTAGTAACTCTTTGAGAAATTTCTCTAAACTGAACTTTTTGCTGAATTTTGCATATTAATATTTCTATTTCCATCTAAATATCAAAATACAGCTCTACTTGTAAAATGATCATCAATTTCAGCAATTACATGTGCTCTCTCTCTCTCTCACACACACACACACACACACACACACACACACACACACACACACACACACACACACACACACACACACACACACACACACACAAAAGAACTTGTAAAATCTTACCTTTTGAGATGGTATATTTTATAGGTGTATTGGCCCTTGCAGTATTTGCCCCCGAGGAGAGGGTAATTGTCGAAGGGTTCGTTCTTGAGCACCTCAATTCCTTCTCCTCCTCCCGTCTCATTTTTGCTCGCCTCCGCAACACTGTACAGCTGCGCCACTTGGTACTACAACATCATAACACATATTCAAATATACTTGTACATATATACATACATATACATATATAAATACATATATATACATACATATATATACATATATATGTTATATATATATATATATATATATATATATATATATATATATATATATATATATATATATATATATATATATATATATATTTATATATATATATATTTATATATATATATATATATTTATATATATATATATATTTATATATATATATATATATATATATATATATATATATATATATATATATATATATATATATATGTATATATATATATATATATATATATATCATATTTACTTATTCTTTGGTGTTTCATGGATATGTTTACATTCAATTTCAGAGGGCACAAAATGTAAATGAAAGCCTAATAAGTACAAGAAATCAATATGAATTTCCAAAGCCATTCAGACACCCAACCTCACCTCTTCGACTGTGACTGGCAGGATAACCCGACTGCAGGCGAGAGGGAAAGAGAAAGATATTGGTATAAAAATCTAACACAAGTCTTAAAAAATAATGTAGCTTACGAGAAAACTAGGTTCTTGTACAATTCGCTCTTTACATACTGTATTCTCTTAAAATAGGGTGACATGAAACTTTATAATTTTATTTTGTTATCTTCATTATATTTTTATTAAGGTTATGTATTCCCAGTTCCATGCTTAGTTTTACATTTATCCTGCCCTGATTATGTGAAAGTTAAAATTTTTGAAATTTTGTATGACCTCTCCCATAGGTATACATATATTCTAAATTACATTATGAAAGATTATTAAATTTCTAGTGGTCAAGTTACTGTATAGAAAGTAACAAAGTGAGAAATACAGGTTACTTAATATCCTCATTAATATTTCTACATCTTCTTCATAAGTCCAAGGGCACCTTGTCTAAGTGAGATTTAGAATTACTGATAAACTTTGTGTAATAAAGAATTATTTCAGTTGCACACATGTTATGCAATTTATACCAAAATAACATATCAACATGACATATTCATTAAAAGTCGTAGCAGAATTATAAATTACAAATTCCACTCAACAGTTTTTATACTTTGATGCAAAAACACACACACACACAAAAAAAATTAAGTGATATCAAGTTAATGATAAAGAGATACATATTACCCCTGTCAGCCCCAGGTTTACCTCCTGTCCTCTGCAGTTTTTTATTCTTTTTAATCTTGTTTTATACAGAAGGCTCAGCCACCAAGGAGTCAATTAGTAAACCCTAATGACAGCACCTGATTTCCCCATTCTTCGAATTCGTGTGAAAATGTTTTTTCTAATGCAATTCATATTGATATTGTTATTGTTACTACTGACATTATGATTATTCTAATGTTATTAAAATACTAATGATAATAATAATATAAACCAATAAAGAAAAAATCTTCCCCAAAATCAAGGAAACAAGTAAACAGATTAAACAGGTATGACTTTTAATTGATTCCTTGGTGACTAAACACTTGTGGAGTTTTCTTTGTGTAAACTATCAATAAAATTATAGTGATCATGGCATTTTTTTTTTTTTTTGCCATACAGGACTATTGGCTTAAGAGACCAAGGTGTATATATAGGTTTTTTAAAATCTGATAACCTGAGATTAATCAAAAGAACTATGCATATCTGTTGGCTTTTTACCTGTGGACAATATATTCTCTCTGTCAACTATAACAACAATTATTACAAAGATTAAAAAGATAAATTATGAAAAACAACTGAAAATAAAGATTTACTTTCTCTGACCTATTTTTCATTTGCTGCATACAATGTTAATTCTCCCAAAGAATTCAAATTACTAACGCATAAGATACAGAATAAACGCCAACTCTTAAATCCTAATTCTCCAGCAAACATAAAAAAGGGAAGTTTCTCATATAACAGCATTTCAAATTTCCCTTAAAACTTGCTCCAATTTGTACTGGATTTCCTATTGACCTAAGAGTGAAGAAGAAAAATAACACAAGAACAGAAAAAAAACATATACTGAAAGTTTAGAAGACACCAGAGTATCTGCCACTGGCCTTGTCACAGACATGCGAGACTAAATACCATATTTTAGAAGGATTTAAATACATAAGTGAGAGAAAAAGTCTTGTCACAAAAGCCACCTCACATATCTTCTCAAAATCTACCAAAAATAAACTGAGAACAAAAAAAAAAAAAAAAAAAACAATAAAGGTTAAAATCTGAAACACTGTTCCTCTATGTTATCAAAACTTTATCAGTTATTCAGCACAGGATTCAGGCAGCACTTCAGAACCTTAATCTCACTCTATGCCAAAGACCAACAAACCTCAAACATTAATTTCAGCAAGAACGACCTTTGACTGATTCCTTTATTGAATAAATAGCCAGGGAGGGAGTTCTATCCTAAAATAATATACATGGTGGAAGCGCGTTGACCTTTGTGCGAGTGTAGTCTCCAAGTCACTATCCTTTTCAACATCTATCAGTCGCAATTATCAATTTCTACGGCCGCTAAATGTAAATCTGACTCCCTAATAATAAAATAATGAAGAATAACCATCTTCTTAAAAGCTATATATTTTCTGATAGATTCTAAGTGATACTTCAAAATGCCAAACCAGAATTTTATGGCACATTTATCCTCTGTCTTCTATTTTATCAAATACTTTGCGAAAATATTAATTCCTGATTCTAGCAATACATACTAATAAAACCTATCAAGAAGGGTAAATTCAGTCATAGATGTAAAGTCTAGTTTACGAATAAGACATCAGGAGAAAAAAGTAATAAATCAATATAATCATAAAAAAGCGGAGCATAAAACAGTCGATATTTGTCCAGAAAAAGGACTGTACAAAATTGAGAGCAAAATCATGCTATGGGCTATAATTAACACTAAAATGAAAGAGATAAAGAAAAGAGAAATATTCTGTCTTAAATGTTCACTATAAAGTAAAGATACGGCTCCAGTTGCCTAGTAATGTCTGCTAGCCTACATTCATTGCGATAAATGAAGAAAAGGTATGAATGAGGATGAACATCTGCGCAGCACAAATGATGTATCTGACTCGTTTCGATCATATCCTTATATCAGAAAAGCATGCGTTTCTGATGACCATATAATCGAAACTGGTCAAATGCAGCTCTCGCACTGAGAAGATAGTTCTTTTCATTCAGACCATTTCAAATCCTAACCAATGCATTTTAGCACTATTCAGTGATACTGTGGCCTTCACACAAAGGTCAGCAAATCTTTATCATGGAAGTCGTCAACCTCCTTGGCAATTTATCTCATAAGAAACCAGTCCAAGCACATTCTTGCTGAATAAACGCAGAAAATGCAAACAACTTATGCTACGGAAACTATTGATGCTCAGCTATTCTGAGGATTTAGCCGCAGAATCTTGTATGTACTTGGAAAGAGGTCATTGAATTCCTGCTGTTAAGCATCCTAAGAGTAAGCCAAAATCTAAATCACATTCATCGATCATTCCAAAACATAATCGTATTTCCCTGTACATCCTCAACCAAAAGAGTAATAAAACAAAACTGATAATGCCGTTTCACCCAAGAAATGAGCCCAATAAACGACAACTTCGCATGCTTAGCTTAACCCTCAAAAATATCCGTCCTCCCGGGACAAAGATTCAGCCCAATCAGAAATAAAGCCTACGCTAACGGATCCTTCAAAACGCAACCCCATCTTCCAACATCAGCCCCAAACTACCCCAAAGCACAAGCCCAGCTGGAAGGCATACATGCAGAATGAACACCAATGCCTTTCCACCTCAAGGCACCCTGAGACCCACTCAATAAAATAGAATCCCTTTCATTTACCCTTCTAACAATGCCTGCAAATAAAACTATTGATTAGGATGAGAGAAAGACCATTCCTGGGGCTAATAGTTCCATGCATTACCGAGAATGTCACTGATCAATAAAATGTAATAAATCAATAAATCCGAATGGGGGGAAGAAGGAATGAAATAAAAAAGGGGGAGGAAAAGGGGGAATATATTTCACATCAGTTTCAGATTTCTCTCTCTCTCTCTGTCCACGGCATTTTCCCCCCAAGAAAAGGGGCTCCATTTTAATCTCTTGCTTTAAAGACCTGCCCTGGAATCGGGTGGTCTCAGGACAGCTATTTCCACTATCTCCCTTTAAGAAGGACGAGAGCAACTTTCACAGAAAACTGACTTTCACGCTGGGACATTGAATGATTTAAAAAAAAAAGAGAGAGTGAGAAAAAAAATTATTAAGATTTCGCCAACCGGATTTTTTTCTTACAATTCCTTGACGAGCATTTTTTCCGTCTCCTCTCTTTCTCCTTTTTTCCTTTTCCCTCTCTCTCGCTCTCGCTCTCTCTCTCTCTTTCTTTCTTTCTCTCTTTCTAGGGGCCAGACAACGTGTGAGTAAGGAGGCTTTTCACAGGCACATAGGGTGGCGTGTCCCTTCCCCTGCAATGGCTGAACGGCGACGGGAGAGCGGCCGCCGGCGCAGGTGGTGCCACTCAC